ACAGGTATGTGCAAGAAACTGGACTCCTTGGCCAAAAAGAAGAGCATGTCGATCCTGAAGGATTGGGTACAAAGTTTGAAGTGCCATTTGTACTGGTGTGCACTTTCCTCCCAAACACCGGAGGAAAAGAAGCAGAAGTGGCTGCCATGTGTGGACCACCTGCAGAACGTGCACGATAGTTGTTTACATCCTCCAATTACTAGAGAAAAAACGTGGCTATTACCAGGTATTTTTATTTTTTTTAGATGTTGCCTGCTAGTTAACCCTAAAAAATAGAAATATTGTCATACCTTGTATTTTTTATATACTGTACTGAAGTCAATGTCGCAGTGGTGGAACTCCTGACAAAGACCATGTTTGTCAACAATGTCATGAAGATGTCTCACCTCGGACAGACCAGTGGCGTGGAAGCTTTTCACAGTGTGGTGAATCACTTTGCCCCAAAGATGTACCACTTCTCGTACAAAGCAATAAAAAGCAGGTGTGTTAAAGAAAACTGATATGCATGAAATGTAGACTATAGTGAAATGTAGAACCTTGAGCGATAAAGTTTTTTCATCGCAATTTGACAATTTTTTAAAATAAGATAAGGCATTTTTTGTTCTATTCCAGAATAATTCTTGTTGCTATGCATTATAATGAAAATGCTGGCAGACCACAGAAAGTAACAAAGGAAGGAAGACACTCCTACTGTGTCGTTTATCCCAAATATAAGAGTGGTGGGTATTCTCTGAAAACGATACTGGTGGATGCAACTTATGGTAAGTTACGAAATAAAAAGCAATTCCAGGCAGATGCATGACATACTGAGTACAAAGAAAGTCATTAAAAAAAGTCAAAAAATGATTTGCTTCAAAGAATACTCATGTACCGAGTAGGCAAACTGCTTGAGCATGAAGTCTGATTATTTTTTTTCAACAATGTCATCAGATCGACAAAAACATAAAATTATGTGCACATGCCTGCATCTTCAAATCCGAAAAATAATACCAGCCTATATCTTACCAATCTTGATGGGTCTTGTCTCCATTCCATGTCAGGTCGTCTGGGCACATTGTTTGCATCCTGATAAGTGTCTGGCTCTTACATGTAAGGTACAACATGTAAAATTCCAACCTCCTCTTCTTCCTCCAACTCTTCAAAAACTTGGATATCCTCACTTGCGCTCTATCGATTGCTTGTATCGCTTTTTGAATCATTGTTTTAAATGCTTTGCATTTCGGCCGTATGGAGACCTGCCATCGCTGTTCTCCATGTGACGTATCACTTCCGGGTTCCTCCCCTTTCAGGCTGGAACTTCTGAAAATCAATTATTTTGTCAAATATACAACATAAAAATTATTTTTTCATGCTTTATTTGGTGGACAATGTTTAAGTACTTTCATTGTGACCCTATTTGTCATTTCATGAAATTATTTCACACTTGGCCTTTAAGTATTCTCAATGCTCATTGACTGCCAAACAGCATGAGATTAACCCCCAAAACACAATTTTGTTGGAAAAAATTATGTTAATGAAGGCCTTTTCACCAGTCAATCAATGGGATCTTTTCGGCCAGAGTCACATTGTCGTCCAATAATCAGAACAAAAACAAGTCCTGTGCCTCACATGCCAAAAACCGGGTTGGATCCTGGTACCTTTCGATCTTCAGTCTAACGCTGTCCCAATTGAGCTATTTCAGCCTCTCGTGGCATTAACTTGGGCCTTTTCACCAGTCGATTCATGGGATCTTATCGGCCAAAATCACAACAGCAAGTCAAAGGACACAGCGTCATACAGTAATCGCAACAAAGAAATGAATTCTGTACCTAACATGCCGAAACACGGGTTTGAAACAGGGAAGTTTAGATGTTCAGACGAACTCTCTCCCAACTGAGGTATTTCGGCCTCTTGTGGAGCTTCCTCAGGCATTTTCACCAGTCGATTAACAGGATCTTATCGGCCAAAATCACAAAAGTGTGTCAAAGGACACATTGAAGTCCAGTAATTGCATGAAAGAAAAGTTTCTGTGCCTCACATATCGAAACAAGGACATTCAGATCTTCAGTCTAACGCTCTCCCAACTGAGCTATTTCGGCCTCTTGTGGAGTTTCTTCAGACTTTTCACCAGTCAGGTAATGGGATCTTACCAGCCGAAATCTCAACAGGGAGTCACAGCACACATCGTTGTACGACAATCGCAACAAAGAATCAATTCCTGTTGCTCACGTGACGAAACCTGGGTTTGAACCAGAAAACTTAACATCTTCAGTCTTACACTCTCCCAACTGAGCTATTTCAGCCTCTTGCAGCTTTAACTAGTCAATCAATGGGATCTTATTGGCCAAAATCACAACAGCAAGTCAGAGGACACATCATGAACCAGTAATCGCAAATAAGAAATGAATTCTGTGCCTCACATGCCGAAACCCGGGTTTGAACCAGGGACCTTTAGATCTTCAGTCTAACGCTCTCCCAACTGAGCTATTTCAGCCTCTTGCAGCTTTAACTAGTCAATCAATGGGATCTTATTGGCCAAAATCACAACAGCAAGTCAGAGGACACATCATGAACCAGTAATCGCAAATAAGAAATGAATTCTGTGCCTCACATGCCGAAACCCGGGTTTGAACCAGGGACCTTTAGATCTTCAGTCTAACGCTCTCCCAACTGAGCTATTTCAGCCTCTTGTAGAACTTCTTCAGCCCTTTTCACCAGTCAATTAACGGGATCTTCTCGGCCAAAATCACAACAGCAAGTCAGAGGACACATCATGAACCAGTAATCGCAAATAAGAAATGAATTCTGTGCCTCACATGCCGAAACCCGGGTTTGAACCAGGGACCTTTAGATCTTCAGTCTTACACTCTCCCAACTGAGATATTTCAGCCTCTTGCAGCTTTAACTAGGCCCTCTTAACCAGTCAATTAATGGGACCTTATCGGACAAAATCACAAAAGTGAGTCAAAGGACACATTGAAGTCCAGTAATTGCATGAAAGAAAACGTTTCTGCGCTTTCCATGCCAAAAACAAGGGTTGAACCAGAAACCTTAAGATCTTCAGTGTAACAATCTACCAACTTCGCTATATTGGCCTCTTCTGGTATTAACTAAGCGTACCGTAAATCGCAACAAAGAAATGAATTCTAAGCCTCACATGCCGAAACCCGGGTTTGAACCAGGGACCTTTAGATCTTCAGTCTAACGCTCTCCCAACTGAGCTATTTCGGCCTCTGTGGAGCTTCTTCACCCCTTTTCACCAGCCAATTAATGGGATCTTCTCGGCCAAACTCAAATGTGATTCAGAGGACACATCGTTGTACAGTAAATCGCAACAAAGAAATGAATTCTGTGCCTCACATGCCGAAACCCGGGTTTGAACCAGGGACCTTTCAATCTTCAGTCCAACGCTCTCCCAACTGAGCTATTTCGGCCTCTGTGGAGCTTCTCCAGCCCTTTTCACCAGTCAATTAACGGGATCTTTTCGGCCAAAATCTCAACAGCAAGTCAGAGGACACATCATGGTCCAGTAATCGCAAGAAAGAAATGAATTCTGTGCCTCACATGCCGAAACCCGGGTTTGAACACGGGACCTTTAGACCTTCAGTCTAACCCTCTCCCAAGTGAGCTATTTCGGCCTCTTGCAGAACTTCTTCAGCCCTTTTCACCAGTCAATTAACGGGATCTTATCGGCCAAAATCACAACAGCAAGTCAGAGGACACATCAAGGTCCAGTAATCGCAAAAAATAAATGAATTCTGTGCCTCACATGCCGAAACCCGGGTTTGAACACGGGACCTTTAGACCTTCAGTCTAACCCTCTCCCAAGTGAGCTATTTCGGCCTCTTGCAGAACTTCTTCAGCCCTTTTCACCAGTCAATTAACGGGATCTTATCGGCCAAAATCACATCAGCAAGTCAGAGGACACATCGTGGTCCAGTAAATCGCAACAAAGAAATGAATTCTGTGCCTCACATGCCGAAACCCGGGTTTGAACGAGGGATCTTTAGATCTTCAGTCTAACGCTCTCCCAACTGAGATATTTCGGCCTCTGTGGAGCTTCTTCACCCCTTTTCACCAGTCAATTAATGGGATCTTCTCGGCCAAACAAAAGTGATTCACAGGACACATCGTTGTACAGTAAATCGCAACAAAGAAATGAATTCTGTGCCTCACATGCCAAAACCCGGGTTTGAACCAGGAACCTTTAGATCTTCAGTCCAACGCGCGCCCAACTGAGCTATTTCGGCCTCTGTGGAGCTTCTGCAGCCCTTTTCACCAGTCAATTAACGGGATCTTATCGGCCAAACACAACAGCAAGTCAGAGGACACATCGTGGTCCAGTAATCGCAACAAAGAAATGAATTCTGTGCCTTACATGCCGAAACCTGGGGTTGAATGAGGGACCTTTAGATGCTCAGTGTAACGCTGTCCCAACTGAGCTATTTTGGCCTCTTGTGGAGTTTCCTCAGGCCCTTCCACCAGTCGATTAATGGGTTCTTATTGGCCAAAATCACAACAGCAAGTCAAAGGACACAGCGTCATCCAGTATTTGCAACAAAGAATCAATTCCTATTCCTCCTCCTTATAGCTTTAACTAGGCCCTCTTAACCAGTCAATTAATGGGATCTTATTGGCCAAAATCACAAAAGTAAGTTAAAGGACACATTGAAGTCCAGTAATTGCATGAAAGAAAAAGTTTCTGTGCTTTCCATGCGTAAATTGATTAAATGCTCTAATGCAGGGGTGTCAAACTCATTTTTGTCCCTTGGAGGGCCGTTATGAATTTTGGGAAACCATACAAATGTTTAATCCCCTCCACATGTTGCATACACAGCGCACAATAAATTGATGAATAACTCGTTTTAAAATAAGAAGTCAACAATCATGACTGTTGTTGTGGATTATATTTGACAATTTGAAATTTTGGTTCAGACTTTTGCAAGCATCATGGAATTTGACATTTCTGATTTGCATTCGTGGGCCACATAAAATGATTTGGCGGGCCAGATCTGGCCCCTGGGCCTTGACGTTGACATCTGTGCTCTAATGTAAGGGAATACTGATTTTGAGTATGAGATTAGATTGACTTTTTCTTTTCAGATGACGAAATGCTAAATGAACAATCGATGACAATTTTCATAAAAATCAAGTTAAAACTCACAAAAAACAAGGGGTGGGACTTGCTTAGGTTTTTTATTTATTATTTTTTGTACTTCTTACTTCCTCTGAACATGGAAATTGTGTTGAATATCCTATTTGTATTTTTTTTTCTTCATTTTTTTAACTTCCCTTGACTTGCTGCCAAATTTCTGTTATCTGTTTCGATGTTCAATCAACAAACAACCCAAAGAAGACCCTTGTGAGGACAAGCAGATCAGAAAATGGATGGATGGATGTCCCATGCCTCAATAACAATGTTTGTAATGCATGCTTGTCTTTTGCTTGTCCAACCTGAAATGAGCATTGCATAACTGACTGTACAGGGTGGGCTCAATTTTGGACAGTTTCCTTCAACTGTGTGTGCGTGTGCGTGTGTGTTTGCACGTGCGTGATCGGGTCGTTCGTGAGAAGGTAGTCGCTTCAAAAGTCGATCTTTGGCCAAAAAAGTGTGTTTGTGTGCACACGCGTGCGCGTGGAAGGGTATTTTGTGGCTCTTTGCAGTAACACAGTAAAAAAATTGGCTCTTCGTCTCTGACTGGTTGGCCACCCCTGATGTAAACAATGCAGAGGCGATTGCTCTAAGACTGCAAGGGAAGCTCAGCTTCCCCTTAAATGTCACAAAGTAAGTGATCAAATATGTGTGATCGTACAATTGTGTGGACAAGCGCAAAACTGCGCTCAACTTTTGTTCGGAATCAGCTTCTTATGCCTGGTTACGACGTGACTCCCTTCTCATTCATTCCCACAGCTTCACTGTGCTTGAAAGTGTGTGGACGCTGAGCGTCTCCAGCGTGGACGCTGGGTGTCTGGAGTGTTCAGTGTAGGTTGTCCCAATGCATTGAAACGAGACGAGTCATTGGATAAATGCTGGTTTTGTTCCGCCCATTGGGCTTTCAGGGTCTCTGGGAGTCTATGGACAGTGGGTGGAAGCTCAGCTTTTCTGCATGATGATTGGAGGATCTGTCTGAGGCTGAATCTATCTTTTTGATTGACAGCGAAATGAGCCAATCACCGATCTTATGGTGAAGGCATCCTTTTCATTTTTTTCAAAAGGAATAGAGAGTAGAATTCACGTATAAATAAACGGACACATTTCATGATGTCGGACGAAATTGAGCTTCCCCTCCTTGACAGACCAGCATCCGCCACTGATGCAATGAAACCAAAGACCAAAAATTTTACCAAGGTAAATTTGGCAAGCTGTACAGAGACGAGGTGCGGAGACTGTTTTCGTTGGTCAGTCCCTTAGCCAATCAGGATGCAGAACACAATTCACTGTTTAAAAAAAAAAAAGCATGAAAAAGACTGCACAAAAAAAAAATCTGTGAAACAGTGAAGCCGCGGAAGGTGAACCACGTTATAGCGAAAGATTACTGTACCTGTGTACAGAAAAATGTCTTTTGGCCATTAATGTAAAAGACGCACAAAATGGTTGTTCTTGGCTAGCGTTGTTCAGCACAGTCGTCAATCAACGACTCCCTTTTGATTTACCAGCCAGTTGCCAGCGACACGATTTTGATGACTCACTCACCACCAGGAGCAGAGCAAAAAAAAGCATCCGCCTTTGTCGAGAGCCAAGCAGAAAAAAAGATAAACTACCTGCGTGACCATGCTAAAAGTACTTAATATATATTTTTTTTTTCAATTCTTTTTTTATTGTGAATTCACTCAGGTATACAGTCAATGAAAGAACAAAGTATACAAGTCCTTAATACATCTGGTCATACATAAGATTAGCTCAATTTAAAATAACCAAGACTGAGTAAGCAATACGTAACGTGTAAGGACCAATAAGAAGTATAACTATATGACCATTTTTCAACTATAGTAAAATAAAAACAAACAAGAAAACAACAAACAGACGAAAAAATAACAAAAAAAAAAACAAAGTGTGGTAAACCTCTCTGACTCGTTACACTTTCTATTACAGGAAATCTAAAATACAGACTTAGATGAAACAGAGCAGAAAGAGTAAGGGTAAGAGTAAAGAGTTATCACAGAAGTCGACTCTAAACAAATGACGGTCGTACCGGCGTGATATACTTCATCCATCTTTCCCATATATTCAAAAAAGTTTCTTGTTTCATTCTCAAAGCAAAGGTAATCCTCTCCATTTTAAACATGTCATAGACTATGTCGATCCATTCTTAAACAGTCGGTTTTTCAGGTTTTAACCACTTTCTTGTAATAGCTTTTCTGCAAGCAGCACTTAGGATCTGAAATAAATATTTAACATTATTAGAAACGTTTTCTGACGTAATGGCCCCTAAGTATAACGACTCAAATTTAAATTGGATGTCCATCTGAAAAACACTGTAGAACCTTATGTACCTCCCGCCAAAACGGCACCAATGATGTACAGCACCAAAATAAATGAAAATGGTTTGCTTCAAGGCACCCACATTGCCGCCAGCATGCAGAAGAGTTAGTGTAGTGCCTTTTTTGAGCTGAGGTGACGAAAAATCTTATTAGCGTTTTCCAGCAAAACTCTCGCCAACCACGTGAGCTTGAAGTCTTCCATTGTATCTCACAGAGATTTTCCCAAACTTCTTCCTTTAAGACCATATTACCTTCCCGCTCCCATTTTCGTTTTATGTGCAGTGAACTTTATTTGTTGTAACCCCTTGTAAATTTTTGAGATGAGTGTCTGGTTAGAGCCGTGACCATAAGCATCCTTAAACACTTTTCACAAAATATTATCCCAGCCTGACTGTGCACCTCCCCTCTGTATTTGGTTAATATAATGTTTGAGCTGGAGGTATCTGTAAAAATCGTCCTTCTCCAAACCAAACTGCTTCTTCAGATTTTGGAAACTATTCATTGTCCCTTTATGTAAAAATGTGCAGTATGCTGTCAAACCTTTTGATCCCCATCTTTCAAATCTTGCGTCCCACTTTTTAGGTAAAAAATCAGGATCAAATACAACCCATCTCAAGATCTTCACCTCCTCTTTCAAATGATTTTGAGCTACCACTTTGTACCACATCTTGAGTGACAAGCAAATCCAGGGGTTGCCTAACACCTTCACCCTATTCATTAGGCCTTTGTCTCCAGTTGCAGATTGTATTCTAAAGTCTGTCGATAATGCACTTTCAATGTCCTTCCACCTGGCATGATATTTTGGGTTGCACAAACAGATCAATGGCCTTAGCTGAGCCGCCATATAGTAGTCTTTTAGACACGGAAGAGCTACTCCCCCTTTGTTTTTTGCCAATTGTAAATTCTGATATCTAATTCTCGGTTTACGTCCCTGCCAAATGAATCTCGAAATTAGTCTGTCCCACTCCTGAAATTGTTGGTCAGGTATATCTAATGGAAGAGATTGGAAGAGGTATAATAATTTCGGAAGAATGACCATTTTGACAGACTCCACACGCGAACCAAAATCAAGACAAGGTATAAGATCCCATCTCCTTATGTCTTCCTTAATATTTTTGTTCAGAGGGAGATAGTTGAGTGAGAACAATTTTATCAAATCGAGTGGAATATGTACCCCTAGGTAACTAATTGATTCCGATTCCCATTTCAAATTGTATTTTTTCCTCACACTTGCAGAGGGGCTATGTTTGAAACAGAGGATTTGTGTTTTGGGAATATTAAGCTTGTAACCTGAGAATGAACCATAATGTTCCAAAAGCACAAATAGCCGAGCCAGAGAATATTCGGGGTTGGATAAATAGACCAATACATCATCAGCAAACAACGAGATAACTTGTTCTCCCCCATTCATCACTATTCCTTTAATATTGTCGTCCTGTGTGATCCACTGGCTCAGGGGTTCAATAAAGATTGCAAACAAGGCGGGACTGAGTGGGCAGCCCTGTCTTGTTCCTCGTTCCAATTGGAAGGGATTGGACAAAGCTCCATTAATTTTAATTCTTACCGTTGGACTATCATAGAGGGCTTGTATTATTTTAATAAAATTATTATCAAATCCAAATCTATCCAAAACTTTGTATAGAAAGGACCAATTCACACAGTCAAATGCCTTCTCTGCATCCAGCCCCACTAGTACTGCTTCCAGATTATGTTTTTTTATATGGTTTATTACGTGTAAGGTCCTTCTGATACTGTCTTGAGTTTGTCT